TACACCAAAAGCGAGTTGTGGTCGCATCAATTATCAGTTGTTAAAAGGGCTCTTTTTGTTTAATCATGTCTTACCCCATTTAAAACAAAATAATAATCCGAACAACTTCAATACATTCTAAGTCAATGATAATTGAAGCTTCTGGTTCCTTACGTCTGAAATGGCAAATTAGAGAGGATATGAAAATATCTCATGCAACCAAACTAATGGCTTAGATATAACCTGTTCCCAAATGGTAAAAAAAACAGTAAAATAGGGAAATTTCGAGCTCCTGCGAAATTCCGGATCCACCCTCGAGAAATGTGTTTATTTAATTATTTACAAATAAGAAATAAAAAATTTTTCTTGGTTGTTACTTATTTTTAAGGAATACACTATTTTTAAATGACATAAATGAAAGTTGTAGGGCTTAAAGAACTTTTTATATGAAATAGAAATTTGTCTTAATACCTTATTCCTGTCCAACTTAATAACGGTTAAGTTCTCATAAATTTGAATTATATTGGTCTTTTAATTTAATTGACTCTCTAAGCGTTACTATCGCCACCGTTAAAAATGCATTGGAAATGTTTACAAAATATCTCTTAGCTATTTAAAACAATATCAAACGAGCTTGGCAATTTGTCATCCTGAGTTCTGAAAAATTAGCTCAGTGCCAAATTACCTCAACATTTAATGTTTTTGCAGGAGCATTACAGCGAACGAGAGAAGAATTTACACAAACTTTCTTTCTTCTAAAGCAAGACTAGACAGATCTAAAGTGAGTACAGCATTTGAAGACTTCTATTTCAAACCAGCTTCATTACAAGACATAAATACATTTGAATCAAAGCTTCAAAACCCAGCTTGACAACAAGCTCCCTAGCCCAGTTAATAAAGGTATGGTCACAAGACGACTGGCAAAATGCGGTTTTCACAGATTTCCTTGCTGACTTCATCAGGAAAATTAGGTATTTTCTGGCTTATGCTAAAAGATTACATTTGTTTTGCTGTCGAAGATATGATTTAGACACTGCCACTCTCCCATAAATACAGCAATTTGCCAGTTCTCTTTTAACTACTTTTACTAACAGAGCTAGGGTGTTCTTTGTTCCGCTGGCCTTGAATTTGTGGTACAGATGTTGCTCCATCTTGTAATGAAGTTAGCTTAATATATTTGTCTCCAGATCCTGTGGTCACTTTGGGTTTGCCTAGTCTGCATATGGACAAAAGAGAAGTGCCACTATTATGTAGAGGGATGCTAACCCCTCTGGTTTAAAGTTGCACGGAAT